ACCAATTGTTCAATTGACATGATCCCCGGATCCTGCTCAACAACTGGAGGGGGAACATACGGAGGGGGAGCATATCCGGGAACCGAGTTTTGTTCGTGAGACGATCCCGATTCACGGGAACTGCTCACCGAACTAACTCGGCCGCCACGGTATGAGGGACGACGGGGCGATGTGGGACGGGTGGGTGCATCCTCGGCCCTAAAAAAAATTACAATACATCAGAATTCTTTTCAAATCTTTTAGTTGTTAAATATTTATAAAAATTACAAAAATGTTTTTAAAAATTAGAAAACATTTTATAAAACGTTTACTAAATATAGAAAAAGTTGTTAACTATATATAAAAATAACAAAAGCATTCTTTTATATGTAATATATTACTGGAAATAACAAAAATGTTTTTAAAAATAAATAAAAACTTTTTTAAAAAATTAGAAAATGTTTTATAAAATCTTCTCAAGTATAGAAAAAGATGTTAAATATTTATAAAAATTACAAAAACGTTTTATTATATATAATATATTACTGGAAATAACAAAACGTTTTTAAAAATAAAAAAACGTTTTTAAAAATTAGAAAACGTTTTATAAAACGTTTTTAAGTATAGAAAAAGTTGTTAAATATTTATAAAAATTACAAAAACGTTTTATTATATATAATATATTACTGGAAATAAGAAAATCGTTTTTAAACACTATATAAAAAGAAATTATCAATATGAAGCTCATCTTCTGTCGCATGCATGTGCGTCATACGCAACTCTGCCATATAAACACTATATAAAAAGAAATTATCAATATGAAATAAAATTATTGAATATTAATCTAACAATTTAAATGAATGACTATTTTTACCTCTCATATTGTAGAACATCTTCACAATTGGTGAGCAAATATGTTTGCAAATGAGCGTGCTCAGTCTCTGTAAGTCTCCGCTTCGTGGGTTTTCCACTAAGTCGTCCTATTTCTCTCAACATGCTTCGGACATTAACATGATATGTTGCTCTCTCCCCTTTGTCATCATGCCGAGCAGGTCTTCGGTTTTTTGTATGCACTTCTGATGGAAAATAGTTTTCAGCGGATATTGCAGTTTCTTCATTGATCACCTGCGCGACTATAGATCCTTCCACCCTGCTGTTATTTTTGACCATCTTCTTCAGATGATGAATATAACGCTCGAAAACATACATTCATCGGTACTGCACAGGACCACCAAGTTTCAATTCTCTTGCGAGATGAATAACAAGATGTTCCATTACATCAAAGAAGGTTGGAGGAAATATCTTCTCGAGGTTACATATGATGACTGGTATGTTTGCCTTCAGATTACTAATACCCTCTTCAGTCACTGCTTTGGTGCATAAATCCCGAAAAAAACACTTATCCCTACATAAATAAAAGACAAATTTTTCATAAGTGTTACGTTTATATAAGCATAATTAATGTTAAATATAAAAATTAACTAAAATGTAAAATATAAGATACCTGCAATTGCTTCATGAACATTACGTGGCAAAGTGCGGAAAAAGCAAACGGAAGGAGACGCTGCATAATTACATGACAATCATGACTCTTCAAGCCAGTAAACTTTCCTTCGCTTCTATCAACGCAGTTTCACAAATTTGATGCATAACCGTCTGGAAATTGCAAACTATCTGTAATCCAATCAAAGAACTCTTCTTTTGCAGCACCATCCAGCTGATAAATGGGAAAAGAAGCCGTACCGTTCTCATCAACGTGAAGTTCAGAACTATCACAGATATCGACTAAATCCAACCTTGACTTCAAATTATCCTTCGTTTTACCTTGGATGTTAAGGATTGTGTTCATCAAAATTGTCGAAAAAAATCTTCTCGATATGCATGACATCTAAATTATGCCGCAATAGATGATCCTTCCAATATGGCAGATCCCAGAAAATATTCTTTTTGTGCCAGTTATGTAGCTCTCCAACCGCATCGACTCGAATGTTTTCATGTCCACCTACATATGGCGTCCTATCTGCACCAAAATTCCTCAACTACTTGCACAAATCTTCCCCACTAACTTCCTCAGGTGGACCATCAAACACCTGCTTGTTCTTTGTAAACAAAGTCTTACTCCTACGGTATGGATGATGAGGTGGTAGAAATCTTCTGTGACAGTCAAACCAACACGTTTTCCTTCCGTGTTTTAGTTGGAAAGCATCTGTGTCATCTTGAGAATCTGGACATGATAGCCTCCCATGTGTTGTCCATCCGGATAACATACCATATGCTGGAAAGTCACTTATTGTCCACATAAGTACTGCCCGCATATAAAGTTTTCTTTGCAAGAAATATCATATGTCTCAAAAACATGCGCCCATAGTTGTTGCAACTCATGTATCAATGGTTGGAGAAACACATCTAGTGATCTCTTAGGATGCTCTGGCCCAGGGACGAGAATTGAGAGGAACAAAAACTCTCGTTGCATGCACAAGCTTGGCGGTAAGTTGTACGGTGTCACAATAACTGGCCATAGAGAATATTGTCTTCCATTCTTTCCAAATGGGCTGAAACCATCAGTACATAATCCAAGATAAACATTTCTTCTCTCTTCCGCAAATTCTGGATACGTTGACTGGAAATGTTTCCAAGCCTTCGCATCTGAAGGATGTCTAATCTCACCATTTGTGGAATGCTCTGCATGCCATCTCATTGCTTTTGTTGTGCGCTCACACTGATACAACCTCTTCAATCTTTCCGTTAAAGGCAAATACCACATCCTTTTGAACGGGATTGGAACTCTTCCCCTCATCTCCTGATAACGAGGTTTCCTACAAAATTTGCATTTATCACGTTCCTTATCCGATCCCCAGTAGATCATGCAGTTTTCAATACATACACTATCACTTCATACGGTAGTTGAAGACCTGCAACAAGTTTCTGAACCTCGTAGTATGAACCCGGTGCAAGATTATCCTCAGGTAGAATACCTTTGACAAAATCATTAATCGCATACACACATTCTTCAGCCAAATTATAGTCTGTCTTGATACCCATCAATCTAGTTGCAGAAGATAAGAGTGAATGACCATCTCTACAACCTTTATACAAAGGTTGTTTTCCTGCATCCAACATGTTAAAAAATCTCCTAGATTCGGGGTTTGGTTCTTCTTCCCCTTTATAATGATCATGTACCATCTGGACAGTACCTACATCATAATCTATATCCGTTCTAGGTTCTTCTAACCTAATATCAGGCTGAGGTTCGCTAACAGGCTGAGGTTCGCTAGTACTACCATATTCAAAACCAGTTTCCCCATGAAGATACCAAACTTTATAATTACGTGAAAACCCCCTCATATACAAATGAGTCCGAACATCAAATTCTTTTATAATCCTATTATTATTGCAAGTAGAGTAAGGACATCTTAACATACCGGTTTTTTCATCCGGTTGTTGTTGAACAAGCTTCATGAATTCTCCAATCCCTTGAACGTATTCTTCTGTAAGTAAATTGGTGTTGGGATCCATATGAGGTTTATCCATCCAAAACGATGATAAACTCCTGAAGACATGATTTTCAAGAAATTGTTATGCTTAGAAAGAGTAAAGAGAGAGTGAGGAGTGAATGAGTTGAATGAGGAGAGGTTGCATTTATAGGAAACTGCTTACGGCAATCCGACGACATTCCGACGGAATTCCGACGCCCTAACGGTTATATCCGTCGGAATTTGGTTACCTCAACGATCAAAAGTTTCGTCGGAAATTCGTCGGAATTTACTGATGACATTCCGACGAATACAACTGTTATATAATTTATCAGAATGTCGTCGGAAATTCGTCGGAATATTCTGTGAATTTCTGACGACTTTAACGGTTATATTATTGATCGGAAAGTCGTCGGAATTTCGTCGGATTATTCCGATGAAATTCCGACGAAATTGAATTTTTGATTCCGTCGGAAAATCGTCAAAAATGTCCGACAACATTTATGTCCGTTGGAACCTCCGTCGGAATATACCGTATTTTCTTGTACTGTTGATAAGTTTGATAGTTGGTAAAAAATGAAGTAGATTTTTTTAAAAAAAAATTATGCTTATGAGATTAAATATCAATAGTAAATGTGGATATATATTTTGGTATCTATTTATTTTAAATATGTGCATATAATATAAATTCAGAAGCTAAAATTGTGTAACTGAAATATTTTCAGTCTACTTTATCTCAGTAACATAATTTTGAGACATTTTAATTTCATTTATTTTAGTGTTTGGTAAATGTTTTATTTTTATTTTGTTTTAGTATAAAAATGTTTAAGTATATAATTTTGGCCATTAATGAATAAGAAATCATATTAGTGAAGGTAACCGTAATTGTTTTTATAGATGAAGTTCAACATAACTGATTTATTGATAGATGATGATCGTGGCTTTATTAGAATTATGTAAAAGTTGGCTTTTTAAAAAAGGTAAATCCAGTAGTATGGAAAGTAATATTCCAGGTATGGGTAAAGGTAAAAGATAGTAAGGATCCTATTTTAATAAATTAGATTATGTAAAAATTGGCTTTTTTAAAAGGTAGATCTAGTGGTATGGAAAATAATATTTCAGGTATGGATAGGGGGGTAAAAGATAGTAATGATCATGTTTTAATAAATTAGATTGTCATGTGCGTACGCAGCGGTGGTCTATTGTCGGAAACCGCACTATCATAGTATCATACGAAGTTGTCTTCGTTGTAAGCGGTTGAGTATATAAAGACTATTCTTTAAAGACTTAAGGAAAGACTATAGCATATTCTCATGTGGCGTAGGCAGCGGTTGTCTATTGCCGGAAATCGCACTATCATACGAAGCTGTCTTTATTGTAAGCCGTTGACTAGATACATCAAGTCTATATTTTAAAGACTTAAGGACTTATATATACACTTTTCTCTTGAAGTCTTTAATATGCAAGGTTAAATTTATCAGACACCTCTTGTCTTTCTCCTATAAACCCTAATTTTTTATCTCAACTGTGTGTGTATATTCTAAATTCATGGCTACAACAAGATTTAATGTCTCTTGCCGCTTTCCCGCGAGCATAAGAGTCCATTACAAGAGCTATGTCGGTCTGAAAGCAATGACGGAGAGGATTAGCTATCCCCAAACCCTAGCCACTCCTCGACACCATCTTGTCCGAATAGGAAAAGAAGATCGGAGTTTGGTGGTGAGTGCTGAAATGGCAGGTGGGGAGACACCGAAAATAAGCAATCCAGGAAAACCGAAGGGGTTTATCGAGGAAATGAGGTTCGTTGCCATGAGAATGCATCCGAAAGACCAGGCAAAAGAAGGCAAAAGAGAGTACAAATATCCCCAAGACGGTCCTATTGCGACGTGGAAGTTTACAGTCGAAGGGTATTTGATGTTTCTCGTGGAAAATAAGCTTGTGTTCGACACGCTTGAACGAATAATTCACGACTCTACTGTCCCAACATGTGAGTTTTCTCATCCGTTTTCTTCTTATGAATTGAAATATTGGTAATTTTTATATCTGATTATTTGAAATGCTTTCACTCTACTATATCTGGTTCATTTATAATCTTCTTCAGCGTTGAAGTGATTAAGAGAACAGTTTTAAGTTCTCAGTCACCTTGGTAGTGGTAACAATTTTGAGACACCTTAATAGTAAGTTTTAAGTTACAACGTACAAGCAAATATCACTTAAAATTAAACTACATACTCTCCTCATTTTGTACACATATTAAGAAAATGATTGAATTTTTTATTGATTACACCTATTCAACCAATAGTATTTGAGATAGTTAAAATGTTTATAAAATCAAGCTTAAAAATGCATTGAAATTTTAAAATAACATTTTATATATTAAAAATATTAAAATGATACTCTTTGAAAAACAGAGAGGGTACTAAACAACAAGGTGTGTGTGGACTTTGCTTTTTTATCTAAAAGTTTTAAGACAAACCAAACAGTTAACAAGATGTGTGTTAAAGATAAATACCTTAAAATGCCACACATGTTAACTTTGATTCCAACTCTAACACAAACAATTTTTTTTTTTTGAAAATAGCATAGATCGTTGTGTGGAAATACTTGTTTATACTAGAATAATTACAGTAATAAAAATTATGTTTGTATTTTTCAGTTCCAAATTAGGTCTTAGATTTCCCCATTTGACAAGAATTTTAGTCAATTTCAGAGTAATTTTAAATGGTTGCTACTTTTGAACCAAAACTTTATTTGAGCGCTAATTGCGATATCCCTATGCTAAATGAGTTATTAGATAGATTCTTGAAATATTCAATTTATGTAGGTAAAACTATACATTACTTATCTTACATTTTTTTGAGTTTATTGGTTCTTTTTATTTGGATGAGATTATATATAATATGGTTCGTAGTATATATATATATATATATATATATATATATATATATATATATATATATATATATATCTTCAAACGAGTTAGAGAGTTTATTCAAGATTTTCACAATTAAAGATAACAATTTGAGTTCTCAACTGTTTCTTATCATATTTGTTGATATAATAAACTTTTATAATATGATAAACATAACATATTAGTCAATATAGTTTACTTAGATAAAACTTACGTTTTCGCATGACGTAGGTCATGGTTAATTTTGTATTGGAAACATATACCAATATGCGAAATGCTCCTCCTCCAGCTTGTGTAACCCTGTCAATCACTCTGTCTCTGTGTGTTTGGTGTGTAGATGCGAAGTTCAAAAACACAGGATTGGAAAGGGCAACTAATTTGGGTAGGGATTTGGAGTGGTTTAAGGAACAAGGTTACGACATTCCCGAGCCAATGGCTCACTGTGAAATATATTCAAAGTACTTAGAGGATATAGCAGAGAATGATCCTCCAGCATTCATCTGTCACTTCTACAACATCTACTTTGCACATAGCGCCGGTGGTCGAAAGATTGGGACGAAGGTAATAAAAACAGAATTATTCACTAAACCCGCTAGAAACTTGTGTGTTTAAAGGGTTTACAAGTTGTGCAGGAGTCAATGGCTCAAATGCTTTTCTACAAAAAATAAATAAATCACTTATACCTTCCACTAATCTTCATACTCTTCACCATTTTATGAAAATCCTAAATAAATCATTTCCAAGCGATCAAAACTAAATAACCCCCCCCTATGGATCAGTGAACCCATGGGTAAATCTTTAAATTCTATATGTTTCAAATTTGAAAAAAAAATATTTTAAAATCGTTTTTAATCATATTTTGATGATTTTTGGAAAAATATGAAAAAACAATTTTTTGATTTCTGAAATATTTTTATCAAATTCTATAATCAAATAAAAAATATTTAGGTTTCCAGTTTAATTTTATGATTTTTCGTTTGATATCTTATATATTAAAACAGAAGTCATGACTTGACTTCATGTGTGATTTTTTAAAAAATGGACTATTACTAGAAAGTTATGTTACATTCAGTCTCTAATAATCTTATCATTGTTATATCTTATGAAAAATCATATCTATAATAACAAAGATATATTTAACAATTTAGTTTTGGTAAATTACCCCACACCTTCTAACTTAATCACGCAAAATATGTCAATAAATATAAGTTTAGGAATCTTCTATTATTTATAAGGAAATATGTCAATAATAGTTAAATGCATCCACAATATATTAAAAAAAAATCACAAATTAGTAATATGAAATATTTATATACCCTGACAAAATTTACACGCTATATATATTAGATAAATTTATTTCGATGTAAATCTTTTAAATTATATTGTTGTAAAAAAGAAATTGTTTAAATAATTCTTTTTAATAATTTTTATAATATTAATTTATGAAGCTATAAGTTTAGTTTTTAGCAAACATTTCTTCGAAGTTTATATTATCTTTACAAAGTAGAGTATACTAATATTTAATCAAGCTCTATTTATATTATTTTATCTAAAAATAAAATACTAATCTAACAAATAATAAAATATAGAAGAAGAAACAAACACATGTTTGAAAAACATGTATAATATAGAAAATTTGAAACAATCTATTTGGTTTAAACACTTATTCTATAATATTATTATGTTTGAAAAACATTTATTATACATATCGTAAATATGTGATTACTATAATATATACCAATTTACAAATGAAAACAAATGTTTATACAACTAACTATAAACGAAAACAAACATCCGCGCGGTTGCGCGGGTCAAAATCTAGTATAAAATTAAAAGAAAAAATTGGAGACATTTTAGCTTTAAATTTTCCATCCAAGGGCTCTAGAGACGATTATTCGTTGTGCAGGTATCTGAGAGAATACTCGACAATAAAGAACTTGAATTTTATAAATGGGACGGCCACATTTCTGAATTGTTAAAGAATGTGAGTGAAGAACTGAACAAAGTCTCTGAGGTATAGAACATAACACTACTGCAAAGAAAGTAAGTTTTAAGAGTTTGTGCATTCTAATTCTTAAGCATATTTTATATTTAATGGGCAGTTGTGGACGAGGGAAGAGAAGAATCATTGTTTGGAAGAGACAGAGAAAGCGTTCAAGTTTTATGGGGAGCTTTTTCGTTCCTTGGTGTCCTGATTTGTAATGACCTTCCAGTGCAACACAAGTGGTGGGAAGGCCATTAGTAAGAAAACTGAATCTTAAATAACTGGACTAAGTCTCCATTCACATTTTTTTTCTTTATTGCATAATAATATATGAAGTTTATGTGGTTACCGAAATGTAGGAACCTCATTTCCTTGGTTGTTCTTTTATATTTGGACGTTTATTCCATCATTCGATTATATTACCAAGAACAAAGGCAGAAACAGAAAATTTTGCCTATTGAAACATCGTGTTTTCATTTGTTAAAAGGTTATGATTAGGCCTCTGGACATTTGACCCGGATCCAAAAATCTGAGCCAGAACCGATCCAAAAATATCTGATCCGAAATCAAATCAAAAATTTATAAGTACCTATTGACTCCAAAATTTCTCTATCTGAAAGAATCATAACCGAAAAGACTGATCTGAATAGGCCCGAATCCAAAAAAACCAATCCGAACAGACCCGTACCGATAAGAACTACTTCATACCCGACTTAAAAAAATATGAATATCCAAAATTATAAATTCATGTATTATATTTTCTATATTTTAGTTTATGATTTAGTTGAAATGTATTTTTGTTAGCAATCTTCAATATTACTTTTCTAGCATTACTCATGAAAGTTTAGATGACAATTTAGAGTGTAAAAGTTTAATTTCAATAATTAATAGTGTAATATTAGTTATTTTACAAAATTTTAGATAAATATGATGGATTTTGGCTATCTTGGTTCTTTTTAGATCCTAAATACCTGACCCAAACCGGAAATGTTATACATCCAAAACTTATAGATATTTTATGGATATTTTAATTATAGACCCGAACTGACCTGGATCTGAGAAGAACCGACCCGAACTCAAACCAAAAATTCATAAGTATTTATTGAGTCTAAATATTTAGGATCCCACAGACCTGGACCCGAAAGGAGACGGTTTGAATCCGACCCGAAGATCTAAACGTCCATGCCTAGTTATGATGTTGAAATTCAATTTTAAAACATGGTACATCTGTGCATTTCCGAGTAACTTTGGATAAAGTTTAACTCACAGAATGATCGAGTTATGAGAGTGAGCAAACACTATCATTGAGTGTATTCATATGTAAAACTGGAGTTTGTTTCAATAAAATATTTATCTTATGTTTGAAAGGAATATATGAATTGCGAAGAATTTCTAACTAGGTTAAAGACTTTCGGATGATTGTAGAAAGAGCTAACCCACACTAAACCATGAACGCACGCCATCGAGCCAAAATGAACACGGGTCTTAGATTTGTTTTCGGTATCTTATCAATAGACTGAATTCAAGAAACAATTACACATAGAGACACCTTTCTGAACTTGTTACATTTAAAGGCATTTTATCCATGTGAGACACTTTGTCTCTTGTAATATTACTCTATAGTGCTCCAGCCTTTTTTTGGTAAAATAGTCCTCCAACCTCTTAAACCACACAACATTTTTACTCACGTCTTTCTTGGTGTTTCTTTTCATCGCTTTTTTTCAACTACACATCAGTCTTGTAACTCTTCATCCTTCTCATGTCCTTTTACAGAGTAGATTTGGAAAGGCTCATTTCAGAGTTACTGGGCACTAGTTATTCGAAAGAGTGGAGTGGCTTCGTAAGAGTTGATCGTTGGATTCACTTTGGCTAAATTTCACGCTTCTTACTACGTTTAGTGTTTCAAGTCACAATATATTATGTGCTGGAGAGACATAGACGGCGACATGGCTAGACAAACATGGGGCCAATGCTACTTCAACAGTGCATTGATAAATCAGTTCGCAATTGAATTTCATTTTTTTGAGTGAAGGCATCAAATGACAATTGGGGGGGGGGGGGAAGTAGGTTGCAAACAACATGGAAGTGCCATGGTGATGTTGTTTTGCATGAGAAAAAGTAATAAAAGGAACAAGTGACGTAGAGAGTTCACTCTAGCCTCCCAGACACAATTTTCGAGGTTCAACCAAGATCTATGGCCTCCGGCGACGCGTTTTCCTGCTGGGCTACTACGACGTCTTTGTTCATCTCCCTTGCTTCCTGCTCATGTTTTACTGTTGTAACTGATGTTAACTGGTGTGTGTGTTTTTGTCCAACGAAGGAAGAAGTTCCAGGTGGATGATAAGACGGAAAAGAGAGTGGCGACTCTTCGGTTATGTTCTCCCAGTGGTCCTTTCACTTCAGTTGACTCCTCTAGTGATGAGTCAAGAGGATTCTCTCACCACCGCTCTTTTTTGGTCTTCAGATGCTTTTCTCGTTGAACCTCCATCTGGTTACCGCTGGCAAGTCGCACCGTCGACTCTGTCATAGCTATTCAATTGTGCAAATAGCATCGATTTCAACCAAAAATATCAAGCTCTCCGTCTCCAGGGAGGATTGATACCCACAAGTCACCATGATATGCCCTTATTCAACAAACCGGCACAAGATCTAAAGATATCACGAGTTCAGCTCTGAGTTTACTCGATAAATCTTCATCCTCCGTTTCATTTAAAGTGATATTCTCTTTCCATGTGTGGATACTCCTGCCGGCGGTATAGATTTTCCCTAGCATATCTCTTCCAGTGACCTTCCTATCGGCACCACCGAACGATTCAGATCTGCTTCATGTCATGCATTGACAGTAGTTAATGGGCTGCTGTTACCTACTGTTTGGGCCTGACCCATCTGTGTGATTAAGATTGTCAGCCCAAAACTTAGTCTACCAAGACTTAATTGTGTAGAAGAAAATCCAATTCCAAGGTTAATGGTTTTTGCCTCAGCTTATTTTCGATATCTTCTTCGTTTGAGGATAAATCTCCACCATCATACCCTCTTCCACTGGAAAGATATGTTTCCTCGGACTCGTTGCCGAGCATCTGTTACAACTCCTCATGTGCAATCAAGATTACCTCGGTAATTCTTGTAGATGACGTCTGGACCCCAACATCCCACTATGTGACTATTCTCTTACTGTCCGATTTTGTCGTGAAGGTTCCCCTAACACATTCAAGCACCATTTTGAATTTGCTGTCATCTTCGATTGAAGACCTATCTAGTTTAGCTTATTCAGCTGTTGTATTTTATGCTTATTTTCAAAGAGGAAAGATAATTCTCTCTTGTTATTGTATTGAACAAGATTGAATAATAAAGTAAGTTTGTGTTAAAAAAAGAAAGGAATAAGTGAAGTTTTGTTTCTATCAATATGGTCTGTGTTTTTTTCAACTCTCAATATTTTAGATAGAATTAAATATCTATTTTAAACAAAAACGGCAGGTATTATAAAACTATTTTTGAAGTGGATAAATTACTTTCACTAAAATTTTAAAAGTAGGATTATTTAACTTTAATTTTAGCTGACAATCTTCAAAATTTACTCGTTAATTTTGAACTTCAAATATTTTTATATGGTGAAGAAAATACCTCTTCCATCATAAATTTCATGCACTTATCTTTTCTTTCACAAATTTGTAATAGTGCATATTTCATATGAACTAAATAAAAATTCAAAACACTATATAAATTCTCAAAATCATACTTATATATATATTGATCGTTAAATGTATTAGTCAACTGTTAATTTATCAAAACGACATTGTTCAAGATAATTTCTGTACAAACAAATTTTGTTACTTTTATGACTTAACTTGTGCATTAATTTATATATTTATTTTATAATATTTATCTAAAATGATGTTGTTATGATAAATTAGTGGTTACCTAACCTTTTGAGGGGCAATATATAAGCATGATTATGCATGAAATCTTTTTAAGCACACCGTATAAAATTCATGTTTAAATATGCATTTGCTCTTTCATATGGTTCATCTGAAATCTACATTAGATTCCTTTCAGATATCCGGATCATTTGTATGCACGCATATTTCTGTTTTTTTTTTTTTTATAAAGACTCCTAATAAAAATGCTTTAAGCATAGATCTCATAAGAGTCACAAGTCTAATAGGAAAACAACAAATAAAGAAAAAGTTGCTGTGGAATTACAAACGCCACCAAATCAAGAACCGAGTGTGGATAAAACGTGTCCTCCACCCTCCAATCAAATTCCATCAAAATCTCAAAACTCTCAATCTCTCCATTTCCACTTTCTCACACATCTTTTTAAAGATTTCCATCCAATCACAACCCTCCAATATCAACCCACCACCTTGACCCTAAACCCAAACTCACCTTTTTCAATCATAACGATCTCCTTCTTCCACATCGCACGCTATCCCATCCCTCTCTGTCTCTCTCTGCTCAAATCCTGATCTGGGTTTTGTAGACAAAGAGAAGGGAAAGCATTTCTATGGCTGTCTCAAGTGCCTTCGTTGCTTGCCCAAAGCTTGAGACTTTACTCAATCATCATAACCATCTATCTTCCTCTACGACGCCGTTTGGTCTCATTGGTGTTCATGCTCTGCAGAGAAACAGTAGAAGCAGACGTTGTCTGATCCAGAGAGCACGTTGCGAGCTTACTGATTCCGCACCTAATGTCGCAACCATGACAGCTCTCGAACAACTCAAGAACTCTGCAGCTGACAGTAAGATTTTTAATTATGTTTCTGTTTGGTCTGAAAAAAGACATTTTTTTATTTTGTGAATGAAGGTTTTGTCTTACAAAGTTTTTTTTTTTCTTGTCTTAAAGTTTTCTGTTCTAATTCTCTCTGTTGTGGTTTTGTAAGGATATACAAAGGAGAGAAGTAGTATTGTGGTGATTGGACTTAGTATTCACACAGCTCCTGTTGAGATGCGTGAGAAGCTTGCTATCCCTGAAGCTGAATGGCCACGCGCTATTGGTGAATTGTGCGGTTTGAATCATATTGAAGAGGCTGCTGTACTTAGTACTTGTAACCGTATGGAGATTTATGTTTTGGCTCTCTCTCAGCACCGTGGAGTCAAAGAAGTCACTGAATGGATGTCAAAGGTGCCTTTTTTTATTTCCCCTTAGCTTCTTTATTTCCTTTTTGTAGCACATTCAGTGTTCTAAAAATAGGTCAAGACCAGACTAGTGTGGAGCTATGTGAGGATGATTTTTTAAAAAAATATCTATATAAAGTTTGTTAGTGTCAAATGAAAATTTTAGTTTAACTCATATATAATTGACCCCCTTGTTTAAGCATGAAATCTTAACTTTTGCACTTCTTTTTAACAAATATTAGATAATATATCAACATTGTCCCCTGTGATAATGATTCCTACCTCCACCACTGGTCTAGACGAGGTCTAATCAATAATCTCATATAAATACCGCCTAGCGATTTCTTGAACATCGAGCACATTAGAGTATTGAAGTTATTTGCATATGTTTTGGTCGACCTGAAAGATATATATAATATATTAGAATACGAAATTTATCATCATCTATAATTAGCTTAGGAAATAGGACTACTCATCTCTATATAAGTCTATGCATTGTAACATTATAATCCATGATAGTCAATAATACTTCTTTCAAGTTTACACTCTCACCATATGAAGTGTTTTTCTTTGCCTGTGCTAATAACAAACACTATTTATTTTGTCAGACAAGTGGAATTCCAGTTTCGGAGATTTGTCAGCACCGTTTCCTTCTCTACAACAACGACGCTACCCAGCATATATTCGAAGTCTCAGCTGGTCTTGACTCTCTCGTCCTAGGAGAAGGTCAGATCCTCGCACAAGTGAAACAAGTTGTCAAAGTCGGTCAAGGAGTGAACGGCTTCGGTAGAAACATCAGCGGGCTGTTCAAACACGCCATAACTGTCGGAAAACGTGTCAGAACAGAGACAAACATCGCCGCTGGAGCTGTCTCCGTCAGCTCAGCAGCTGTTGAGCTTGCTCTGATGAAGCTTCCTGAATCTTCACACGCCTCCGCTAGGATGCTGATCATCGGTGCAGGGAAGATGGGGAAGCTTGTGATAAAGCATTTGGTAGCAAAAGGTTGCACAAGGATGGTGGTGGTGAACAGAAGTGAAGAGAGAGTTGTAGCTATCCGTGATGAGATCATCTCTGGTGTTGAGATTTTGTATCGACCTCTAGATGAGATGCTAGCTTCTGCTGCTGAAGCGGATGTTATTTTCACCAGCACAGCCTCTGAGACGCCGTTGTTCTTGAAGGGGGATGTAGAGACTCTCCCTCCAGCGTGTCCTGAGATTGGAGGAGTGAGGCTATTCGTTGACATCTCTGTTCCGAGAAACGTTGGTTCTTGTGTCAATGAAGTGGAGACCGCACGTGTTTACAATGTGGATGATCTCAAGGAAGTGGTTGCTGCTAATAAAGAAGATAGGTTGAGGAAAGCTATGGAAGCTCAGACCATAATAGCAGAGGAGTCAAACCAGTTTGAAGCGTGGAGGGATTCTTTAGAGACGGTTCCTACGATCAAGAAGTTGAGAGCTTATGCGGAGAGGATCAGAACGGCAGAGCTGGAGAAGTGCATGTCGAAAATGGGAGATGATATTAACAAGAAAACGACGAGGGCTGTTGATGATTTAAGCAGAGGTATTGTGAACAGGTTCTTACATGGTCCAATGCAGCATTTGAGATGTGATGGGAGTGACAGTAGAACGCTAAGTGAGACCCTTGAGAATATGCATGCTTTGAACAGAATGTATGGTTTGGAAAAGGACATTTTGGAGGAGAAGATTAAGGCAATGACATCGGGACAACAAAAGTAAAAGATTTCTTTAGACAGACAAAGGTTACATTGAACTAGCTTCCCCTTGCAGATCCGAGTAAATTGCATAGGTCCTTAAGCTGGGGATCTATATGATTCATTTAATTTGTGTACAAGAGACTGTTTCTTCAGCTAACATTTTATATCGTCCAAGTGTTGTGAAGATAAGTGAGTTTTGTTGCATGTTGAGTGTAACGGTATGGATCCCAAGTACCGTTGCTTATGTGTAATGTATACACTTTGGTTCATACAGTATAGAGAAAATTGTTTTTTTTCCTTGGTTTATTTTTTTGGCTATGCTATAGATTTTTTTTGGTCAAACTGTTTTGATTCAGTAACTTAAACGTTTGTTGCAACAATTAAAACAGACAAAGCTGATTTTGCCAAAAGATCAGCTTGAGCGTTAAGAGATCGACTGATAAAATTAAAAGATAAGGGATTGAAGAGAGTGGCAAGGCTTCTTATGTCATGTAGAACACCTGCAATCTCATTCAGATCCTGCCCTGAACGCAAGGCCGAGATGAGGACTTGAGAGTCCGAGAAGATTTGGAGGCAATGAAGATTTTCCTCCTTAGCTGTGATGAGACCGTGAAGCAGGGCCAGTGCTTCTGCCATCAGCGCTGATCCAACCCACAACCGAGACATAGACTTTTGGGAGATGATAGCTCCATCCTCTTTGATTATCCAGCCCATCCCTCCTAACAAAAGATCTTGATTCCAAGCCCCATCCACCCACATGGAGGGAATATTCAACGAAGGAGAGTTTACCGAAGGTACAGGGGGTTTTGCTACAAGAGGTTTTAAAACCATGGCTGCTTCCCACGCTTTTGTTGCTACACTAGCTTTTGAGACTATCTCAGCCTCTTGCATCATCTTGTCTTCAAAAATCATTGAGTTTCTCGCTATCCATAAGTACCACATAATCCAAGGCACAAGGGGGGCAGAGACTAATCCCAAAGGAGGCAGGTTCTTAGCTTTAAGAAGACTACTTAAAATTAGCCTAATATCATCCCCTTGAATGGTCTCCACCACGTCGAGAGAGAGAGGAACCATACTCCAAACTGATTTGGCAAAAGGGCACTCAAAGAGGATGTGCCGTATCGATTCCAGACTTCCACATCTTTTACAAGATAACTCCGCTTGAATTCCTCTTATAGCAAGAAGAGTTCCTACTGGGAGGGCATTATGAAAAACCCTCCAGAGGAAGTGTTGGATCTTGGGGGATGTCTTGACATTCCAGATTAGCTGCATCCAGTTAGTAGTGTTGTCTGCTAGGGGGGAGATGGGATGATGAGCTATCCTATAGCCTGACTTTGTAGTGTAAGAACCCGATTTCTCCGGCAGCCAAACTAGTTTATCTGGTGGGCAAAGAGAACTAGGAATAAGCTGTCGAATAATATCCTCATAATGAGGTAAATGAAGTCTGACACTATCCAGATCCCAGCTGTTAGACCGCGGGTCCAGGAGATCCTTTACTACCAATCCCTGATTGCTCTGAGAGGGAGGGCCAAATGGTGTTAAAGGTCTTGAGGTTGAGAGCCAAGGGTCATACCAAACACTGATATCTTTCCCATCTCCTACTAAGAAACCCAAGCCCATCTCCAGAACAGCTTTCCCTGCCAAAACGCTGGTCCAGCCATGCGATGCTCTGCTACATTTTGCGCTTTCCAGGAAGGAACAATCAGGAAAATATTTTCCTTTAAGGACCTGAGCAAGAATGGAGTCTGGGTTCTGGTGGATTCTCCAGCTAAGTTTAGCCAACAGGGAGTCATTGAAAGTCTCCAGATCCTTAAACCCTAGCCCACCAAAAAATTTCGGCTGCGCCATTTTATCCCATGCCACCCATGAAATCTTCCTTTTATCAGGAGAACTGTCCCACCAGAACCTAGTAAGGACAGACTGAATTCTCTTGCACAAAGAACTCGGAATTTTAAAACAAGACATGGTGTGGTTTGGAAGGGAGGATATAACGGATTGGAGCATGACATGCTTTCCTGCTCCTGAGAGGAATTTAGTAGGCCAGGAGTGGGATCTTTGTCGTATCCTGTCCACTAATCCCGTGAAAACATCACTCTTTCTCCTACCAAAGGTTTCCGGGAGACCAAGGTACTTGCCCATTCCTCCTACTGAGTTGATTCCTAGTGAGAGTTTGACTCTCTCCTTGATGTTTGCAGGCGATTTTGCTGAGAAAGTGACTGAGGATTTCTCCAGGTTGATGCACTGTCCTGAACATGCTTCATACCTATTCAGGATTCTCATCAAAGTTGAGCAATTACCTTCGTTTGTTTTACAGAAAAACATGGTGTCATCTGCAAAAAGAATATGGTTGATGAAAGGGCTTTGTTTTGCCACTTGCAGCCCTTTTAAGCTACCTCTCCTTTGAGCATTCTTGCATAAACCAGATAAGACTTCAGTGCAGAGAATGAAGAGATAAGGCGAGAGCGGATCGCCTTGTCTAAGGCCCCTAGAGGGAGTTACTTTGCCATACGTAGCACCATTGATCAGGAAGGTATAAGAGACTGAAGTTACACATTCCATGACCATACGAATCCAGTGTTCCTGAAAGCCAGGGAGGGTCAGCACTGCTTCTAAAAACTTCCACTCAATCCTGTCATAAGCTTTGCTCATGTCAGTTTTAATGACCATAGAGCATCGCTTTGTAGCTTCTGAAATCTTGAGGTAATGCAAAGTTTCATGGGTAATGAGGACATTATCTGCTATGGCTCGCCCCGGAACAAACGCTGTCTGGTGAGACGAAATAAGATTAGACAGGTAGGGTTGAAGGCGGTGCGTAATGAGTTTTGCTATGATCTTGTAGCGGACGGAGCAGAGGGCTATAGGACGATATTCTGCTGCTGTCCTTGGAGCGATTCCTTTTGGAATGAGGCAGACTTGAGTCTCATTGACTCCAGACTCCAGCTTCCCTGTAATGAAAAATTTCCGAATTTCTCGGTAAATGTCTTGCCCAATTACGCTCCAGAAAGACTGGTAAAAGCTTGCTGAGAATCCATCTGCTCCAGGTGCTTTGTCTGCATTGATGGAGAAGACAGCATTCTTTACCTCGCTTTCCTCTGGGATTCTACACAGGAGTTCGTTCATCTCAGCCGAGATGCGAGGCTCAATTGTTTCTTTGACTGTGCTAAAGTCATTGGTGCCATTCGCAGAAAAAAGCTTCTGGAAATAATCAGCAAACACCATTCCTATCTCTTCTTCCTCGTGTACAGGAATTCCATCGCTATTTTCCAGGGCAGTAATCCTGTTTATTGCTCTTCTTCCTTTGGTTATAGCGTGGAAAAAAGCGTTGTTGCGATCTCCTCCTTGCAGCCATAAAATCCTGCTTCTTTGTCTCCAAAAAAGCTCCTCAGCTTTATACGCCTTGTCTAATAACTCTGTGAGCTTCTCTATTCTCTCAAGATCTGGATATTGTGTAGACAAGGCTTCTTCCAATTCTTTTTGATTCTGGAGGATATCTCTGACTTTGATTTCTCTTTGCTCCTTCGACCATCTAATGAGATTTTTCCTGCATCTTGAAATTTTTACTTCTACCTTTTCCAACACTTCTGATTGCCAAGCCTGCTCAATAATCTCTCGAGCTTCTGGAATATCATTCAGAGACCTGTCATATCTAAAGGGCCTCCTACGTTTCAGTTTTGAGGAGTCCAGATATGTGATTAGCGGCCTGTGATCCGAACCCTCAAACCTGAGGTAGCTGCAGCTTCCTGCAGGGAACATTTCATCCCATGCTAGGTTTGCTAAGGTTCGATCCAACCTGGATCTGATGAAGTGGGTATTCCGCTGTCCGCGCCATGAAAGATGGTTTCCTACATGTTTAATATCCCAAAGCCCGTGGGTGGAGACAAAGTTGCGAAACGGTATGAAGGATCCTTCAGCTCTTGCAAGACCTCCCACTTTCTCTGAATTGTCTAACATATCGTTGAAGTCTCCAGTAATTGCCCAAGCAGTTCCCCTCCCCTGGAACATCAAAGAGAGACTCTCCCAAAATACCGCTTTGTTTTCTTGATGTGGGTCTCCATAAATGAAAGACACATAAAATTCCTTACTTTTGAAGATAATCTTTGTGTCAATAAGGTTTGGAGAGGAAGATAAGATTGAGAGAGAGATGTCTTTCTTCCAAAATAACGCTAGTCCCCCACTGAGTCCTATGGGGGGAACCGTGAAATGATGATTAAAATCCAAAGATTGCAAAGTAGACAGTACAAAAGGATCTTGATTCTTTGTTTCCATCAAATACATAATATTCGGGTCTTGGTCTTTCTTCATCTCCCGGATTCTAGGAACTGTCAAGTCACCTCCCAAACCTCGACAGTTCCAGCTTAGAAGCGCTAAGGAATCGGGTCTAGCGGATTTTGAAAATCCACATTCCCCCTGTTAGCCTCTTGATTCTCCACTGAAGGAGTAGTCACCTCCTTAGAATAAGGTAATTCTTCTGATCTCGCCGCACGATCCAAACACAACTTTTTCTTCGGAGGGTTCTTTGATCTTGAAGCCACTTGCTTTTTGAAAGTTACCCCCTGAAGAGGACTCCTGTTACCCCTTGATCTTGTGGTTCCAGTGATGTTTGTGGCCTTCTTTTTTCCTTGTTGTTTGGACTGAGTTACCGGCTTAGGTTTCGGTTTTGGTTTTGGGCCAGGCTTTTTCCTCTTTGCTCCTGAAGCTGTACCCAACCTGAGCGTAGCTGGGACTCTTTCCTCCTCTCCTTGCAATGTGGAGGGGAGGGACTGATAGTTTGGCTTCGAGTTTGATCCTTCTCCAATTAGTTGACTTTGCAGTCCTTCCCCCTCATAAGTAACTTCTACATCTTGGAGTCTTGCTAAAAGTGAGGTAGACAAGCCTGATCCTCTATGGTTATCAGTCATAGGGGACTCTAGTCTTTCTAGCACTGAGACGCGTTCTCTGGAGCTGATGTTTCCATCACCTTGTAGCGGATGCTCAATTCTTTCCGACACTGGGACTCTATCTCTTGAGTTCTTGAGAGTAGTTCCATGCGAGGATGGCTCTATTCTTTCTAAGGCCGAAATTCTGTCACGTGAATTATTGTTTACATCTCCAATTCTCGGAGTAGGAGAAGTCACCATTTGTTCTCGAGATGGTCTAGGTGGTGGAGTTCTGGAGCTCTGAGAGTGTTGCGAATTTGCATGGTGCGTTGCACTGCGAACCCTTTCCAATGGAGCATCCCTTCTTTGCGAATTCCTGCGAGGAGAGATATCTCTCTGTCTGGAATAACTATGATAAGAATGGCTGGGGTTTGAGGAGACTGAATGATCCGAATGCCTGTATCTCTCCTTATTCGAGTAGTCCCTGGACCTCTGGGAGTACCCTCTACTCTCACTATGATATCGCTGGTCTTGATGAGAATGATTGTGTCTTTCTGGAGCCTGCAGTCTCGAGTATGCTGACCTTTGACTAGTCGGAGGGAGGTCCCTCGAGTAATGTTCTCTGTCTTGTGACGCCTGAGAGTCTGGTCTTCTATCATGTTTTCTTCTGTTATCCTCTAACTTCTTTAAAGTGTTGAGTTGGCTGATACCTTGCGGCCGAGCGTCCGAACTCTTGAGATCATCCTTTAGGGGGCAAGTTTCTTTCTCATGACAGAGAGAGAAACATAGGAAGCAATGTTTTTCCAGCTTCTCATACTCCAGGTCTACTAGCAGCTCTTCACTTGAGGGGAGTTGGATAGGCAATTGCATTTCCAGTCTCTTTAAGCCGTTGATGTGGACTCTAATTTTTCCTTTAGTAACATCTTTATCCAGAACTGGGCCAAGTTCTTCTCCTATTGCTTCCAAAGATTCCTCCGTCCAGAAGTGCAGGGGCAAACCATGAATGTTAATCCAAAAAGGGATTAAGTTTGGGAAAGTTCTGGAGATTACTGGTTCCCATCTTTGGAGGATTACCATCCAACGCTTGTAGTGATACGGTCCTTTGCGAAGAACAGATAGAAGCGCTTCCTCTGTCTCGAACCGGAGTTGGAAGAGTTCCGGTCCCAGGTCTCTTCCTGTGACTGAACTGTCTAGATTCCAATACTGAATGAGCCATTCCATGACCCATTGAGGTTTTTGGAAAGCTGGGTTGGTAACTCTTCCCATAATCGTGAGCTTGTTTTCTTCTATAAGAGCTGCATTGTCTGAGAGCGGTATCTGAATTGGTCGGCGTCGTTCTGCTCTTGGGGGGAGGAGAACCCCTTTTCCTTTCTCTTGTCTTGAGAGGCGGCGTTCCATGGTAGAGAATTCTGTTTATTCTTTGAAAGACTTGAAGACTTGAAGAGGAGATGTTCGAGAGAAATCCTCACTAGGAGGTAAATAAAGTAGATCTGTACCAAGACAGTAACTTCTTACCAAAACCCCTTAAGAAATTTTGAGATCGAGTAACTTTTTTTAGGTAGAAGGGTAACCATTTTGAGCTTCTCAAACTGTAATAAAATCTCTTGACTGAAGTTTTAGCTTTCTTCTAGTTTAGAGAAGGAGAGATTACAGTGAGAAAATGGAAAATCTTCATCGGAGAAAAGTAGGTGCGGTGGCAGATTTGAATTTTACGGTGTCTGGAAGGTAGGTGCGGTGGTTAATAAAAGTTTTTTGTTAGGTAGCCGGTCATTGGAAACCGTGCCTGGGAGAAAAGCTCTTTTTTGATTATAAGTTTATAACCTGCTATAGATTTTAGTCTGCTTATTTTGTTGGTTGATATAATATGTTAGAGCATATCTGTTGATGCAGACGCCAATAGCAGCAATGTTATGGAACCCCTCTCTTTTTACAAATCTTTGATTTGGTATATCTTGTCTTTTTACTTCATCAAGTTTGAGTTTCCAAATTCAAGTGAGAAGAAATTACTGGTCAATTATAAGTACTGATTCGTCTAGGGTCCTTTCTGTGTTCTGTTTCTTTTAATTAGGACATTTTGTATCTATCTACTCTATTAAATTAGAATTTTTCCATCTATGAGTTTTTGGACTATCATTGAAGTTGTAGTGCTCCTAATAATAGAATGATGGAACTTTAATTAGTTGCAACAAACGTGGAAATGTGAAAGAAACAACAAGGAAATCAGGTTCCTACATTTCGGTAACCACATAGACTTCATATATTATTATGCAATAAATAAAAAAGTGAATGGAGACTTAGTCCAATTATTTTTAATTTGATTTTCATACTCTTGATGGCCTTCCCCCTACTTGTGCATTGCCACCAGAGGGTCATTACAAATCAGGGGACACCAAGGAGCGAAGAAGCGCCCCATAAAACTTGAACGCTTTCTCTGTCTCATCCAAACAATGATTCTTCTCTTCTCTCGTCCACAACTGCCCATGCAAACATAAATTCTGCTTAAGAAATTACCATATTATATTTATTTTCTTGCTTCACACTCACAGTAATGTTATGTTCTATACCTCAGAGACTTTGTTCAGTTCTTCACTCACGTTCTTCAACAATTCAGAAATGTCGCCGTCCCATTTATAGAATTCGAGTTCTTTATTGTTGAGTATCCTCTCAGATACCTGCAAAATTTGTAAATCCTTTTTAAGAGAAGTTGTTTTTTTTTGGCTAAACCTTTTTAAGAGAAGTTCCTACTGACTATTTAGTGAATAGTGTTTTTTATTACCTTTGTTCCAATCATTCGACCACCACCAGCGCTATGTCCGAAGTAGATGTTATAGAAATGACAGATGAATGCTGGTGGATCATTCTCTGCTATATCCTTTAGATACTGAGAATATGTTTTACAGTGCGCCTGTGGCTCAGGAATCTCGTAACCTTGTTCCTTGAACCACTCCAAATCCTTGGCCAAACTATTTGCCCTTTCCAATCCTGTGTTATTGAACGCAGCATCTACACACAAAAAGACAGTGATTTTGACAGGGTTACATAAGAAAGAGGACAGACTTTTTGCATACTGGACTTAATGTATTAAAAAATGATTGTATTTATTTAAACTCAAAATAGTTGTATTTAACTCGGAAAAAATTGCAATCCAATATACACCAAATAAATAAGTAAACTGATCTGATTTAATAGATAAAATTGCATGTATAGTTAAGAAACAGTCTATTAATATTTAAAACAATTATTTATTTACTATCTATAGAAATTAGAAATTTTATTAATAAAATGTTAACTAATTATTATGATTAATTATTTTTGTAAATAACTATATCCATGTAAGAACACATGTGAGAGAACGAGAGAATCAACTAAATATTTAGTATCAATCTAAAAGAATCAGTTTAGAATAGAAAAAATAATAATCAAGTGTTGGTGCAGAAACTAGAAATCATTTTATATTGATCCAGGTTAGGTTTTTTGAGTCCGAGTAAAATGTTGATGCCTACTCTTAATCACGTGTAAAGATTAAACCTGAACCAGCTCTGATAGAGTGAAACATGTTTTAAAGAACAGCTATAAAACTTACCAATATTTCAACTCATAAGAAGGAAACTGATTAGAAAACTCACAAGTTGGGACAGTAGACTCGTTTAAAATCCCTTCAAGCGTGTCGAACACAAGTTTATTGTCCACGAGAAACTTCAAGTACCCTTCCACTGTGAACTTCCACGTCGCAACAGGAGTGTCTTGGGGAGCTATGGACTCTCTTTTTCCTTCTTTTGACTGTGTTCTCGGGTGCATTTTCATCGCTACGGACCTCATCTCCTCCACAAACCCTTTCGGTTCTCCTGGGTACCTTTTTATAGGTATGTCCCCAGCTACAGCATTCACCACCAAAGAACGATCTTCGTTTGCTATTTGGAGAAGATGGTGTCGACGAGTGGCTATGGTTTGGGGATAGCTAATCCTCGCCGTCCTAGCTTTTAGACCAGAATAGCTCTCGCAATCGAGGCTTGAGCTCTTGGGGAGTTGGAAAGAGACAGTAAATCTTATTGTAGCCATGAGTTTGCAATACACAAATGACAATTCAAAGGACTTGTATATATGTACTCCTGCATTAAATCTTGAGTTTAAATATATGTATAGTCTTTCATTAAGTCTTTAATTAATGGACTTTTGTAAATCTAATCACAAAGATAGCTTTGTGATTATCCATTGTATTTTCCCAACTACTCTTTATTATATATATAATTTGCTTATGACTAGGTTTCCACAAACTCCACGTGATGTCTCTTCTTCACATTAGATGCATCCGCAACCGTGAGACTCATAGGAGTCCTTAAGAAAAATGGTATTTCGGATTTCGTAAGGATATTTTGAATTTTTTTTAAAGAATAAAAAGATAACCATTCGCACGCTGCCACGTGTCCTGGAAACCCGCAAATAGTGTAAGGATTCGCTAAAAACAGTTCGTTTTATAACACTGACAGTTCAATAGTACAATCTTGGAAGCAAAACGAACAAAAGAAAAAAGAAAAAGGGATGTCATTAGGCATCATTAAAAGTGGATAATAACTCACCAAAAAACAAACCCCTTATCGGTGAGCCTCCAAAACGAGAAGGTGATGAAGTCACACTGGAGCATATCTGGCAATGTAGGACTGCAGGCGCTGATCGCGAGTGACACTTACAGCAATTGCCGATGCCGCTTCATTCCGTTCAGAGAGAACGTGCTCCAGACTCCAAGTATCTATCATTGCCAGAAGGAAAGTGATATTATGGCGGATATGGCAAAATGCGGGGTTTTGATTGTTGTCAAGCTTTGTGAGCTCGTCATGAAGGTTGTCGGATGATGTCTCAAAAATAATATTTGAGAAATGTAGATTATGTAAACACTCGACCGCCCAGAAAAGAGCCCATGAATCCGTCTCAGTTTTTGTACGCATATAGGAATATGCCTGACGGCTATGCATGATTGTGATGCCATTTTCATTATGTAAAACCCACGAAACACTACTAGGTTGATTGGGTTACGCTAAAAACAGTTCTTATTTAGGAATTTTAAGGATTGAATTCTTAACTTTTTATGAGGTTTACCCCCTAAGAACTCCCGTTCCGGATGCTGCTTCACATGATAATCTAAACTACTCATTTCAAATCATAAACAAATAACACAAAATTTTAACATAGTTCTCCTTACAAAATCAAAATCAGTATAACTCTTTAAAAAGACTAATCTAATAACACCCCCTAAGAGAGTAAATGTAGGGAGTTGGTTAAGAGATAAAATTTTGATAAGAGACAGTTTTGAACGCAGCATCTACACACAAAATCAGTATAACTCTTTATAAGGACTAATCTAAATACATTTTCTAGGGATAATATTCTATATTACCCTATTTACAAAAAAATATACCCTATTTACAAAAAAATATATTCTCACTATCCCACATTTTTTCTCCCTACCCCCTTTTCCCCTTTACCTTCTTATCTTTTTTTTCTTTTATATTTTTATCTTTTTTTATCTAAAGTTGTGGGACCCACATCTATATTTTCTTTTTTATTTTTTCTTATTTTCCAAGTGGGTCTCACAATCGTTTTTGGACAAGAATTTATTTTTTTGCCAGATTATTTTTAGGGCACAATTTTAAGAAAAAATATTATACTTTTTTATTAATAATGAAAAGAAAACAAAATAACAATTTTCTATATATCTTAAAATATTTTTTTAATAAATAATAAAATAAAATAAAATAATAAATTATTTAAATAATATTTTAATCAAAAATTAATTTCAAAAATAAAATTTACAAAATATCTATAAATTACTTTTCCTAAATTAAAATATTATCTCTTTTATATAAATTTTAGCAAATTTAAAATATTTTTTTTCTATTTAAATCAAAAATTAATTTCAAAAATATTTATACAAATTATTTCAATACTATTTCAAAAATAAAATTTAATAAAATATTTATTTTTATTTTTATTTTTTTCACTGGTTTTTACATGGTAATAAAAATATTTAAATAAATAACTAATATCAAAATAAATTTATTAAAGTATTTCTATAAATTTTGGTTATATAAAAATTTTATACAATAAAATTTAATAATATATTTATTTCAAGATATTTTAATCAGAAATAAAATTAATAAAATATTTATATAAATTCCGATTTTACACAAAATATTTCTTTTGTTAACCGGATTTTATTAAAAACATTTCAAATATATAAATTTATTAAAATATATATGTCAATATATAAATTTAGTAAAATATATATTTCAATAGTCACAATTATAGTTTTAAAATTAATGTAATAAAACTATATACTTTATGAAACGAAGGATATATAGTCTTTTATATAAATTAGAATATTTAGTATTATATTCTTATATAGTATTTTATGAAACTTTGAAAATTTAATATTTTATTGTGAACTATTAAGTACTACTTGGAACTACTATATGTAATATGAACTACTAGGAATTACCTTGAATTACCTTGAACTACCTTAGAATATCTTGGAACTACTATGTATTAGACATATTTTTAAAAACCTTATTTTTCCTCTTAATAATTATTTTTAAAAGATGTATCTCATATATTACGCAATTATATATCCATATAAGTGTTTATTTGTCAAGTTAGACATAAAAATCTTAATTTCTTAAGTTGATATAAAACTTCTCATTTTCATAGAAAACATCCTTATATTTCTATACTAACATCTAGATGGGAATACCATAATGAGATATGAATAATAGAAAATACATATTTTCTGGAAATTTTTTCTGCCGATGTGTTATATACATTATAAAACTGTCTAAATACATTGGTATTACTAGGAAATTTGTTTTTTTTTTTTTTGCTGTGGTATTACTAAAAAATGTTATAATTTGCAAAAGTATTACTATGCAGAAAAAAATATTACTACCACCTTGAGAATTACTAAGTGTAAATTTTCAAACATGTGTTTTACTAAAAAAATGTTATAATTTGCAAAGGTATTTCTATGAAGAAGGAAATATTACTACCACCTTTGAGAATTACTAAGTGTAAATTTTCAAACATGTGTTTTATCCTTTTATCACGTTTTAGACATGTTTTTTTTTTGAATTTTTAACACGTTTTAGGCAAGTTTTTTGGTTGAATTTTTAACACGTTTTAGACAAAAAAAATTGTAAGTTTTTATCATGTTTTAAAAGTGAAATGTGTTTCTTGCACTTGTGTTTTATTTTTATTTTTACTTCAGTTAGCTCTACATATAATACAAGTTTATGGTATAATTTTTTACATACATGATTTAATATTTTTTAAAAATATAAATAGATGTTAAATGTGATTTTTAAAAAAAAATGAGATTTTCAAACTATACGACCAACAAAAGAAACCTTTGTTGCTAGTATTTCATTTGAGCTCTAGCAAATGATAAAAGTCCTATTAGCATTTTGCTTTATTCAGAATTTTTTCACGTATGTTCGAGTTGGGTCTATAGCCAAATGAAATTTTTTTATTATTGGAGATTCATTTGGGATTAATTTTATGGTTTTATTAAATTTATATACAAAATGTAGTTATGTAAATATACACATAGAAATATATCTCTTATCTTTCGACCAAAAAAGGAAATATATCTCTTATCTGATTTGATACGACCCACGAAAACAAATTTATTTTACCGGAAATTAATATAAGCTTTTATTTTATAAGACAAAACTATTTACAAAATGCAACTTCTGTAAATATACAGAAAGATAACTCGTGGTGTGGTGTTTGGTTGCTTGTTTGTTAACTAGGCAACCCAGTTCCGCTAATTTATTTGGTTAGATTTAAAAAAAAAAATTAAATTATATTCAAAACGTAGTTGATGTAACAATTATTTTTGTTTTTAACTATGGTTAAAAATTCAACTTTACAATGGTCTGGTGGTATTTTCTCTGTTTCTAAACTTTAAAATTATGGTCTGGTGGTATTTTCTTTGTTTCTAAACTTTACAATTATTTTTGTCAATCTTATTTATTTTATATTCTTTTAATAAGTGGCAGTTTTGTAATTATTTCTTCATCTTTCTATTAGGATTTTTCCAATTCTGTAATTTTTTTCGTCCATAAATTTTCTTATTCATCAATTTTAAACTTAAAATTTGCAAAAAATAAACATATTTTTTTCTTTATCCTCGTTATTGATATGATTTAGGACCGCGAAAAACAGAGTATTATATGACATAGAGCTTAACAGACTTACTCAAAATCGTAATATCATAATGCTAATATGGTTTAGAATATAATTTTTTTTTATCTTTATCATGTATAAGGTTGGTTTATCAAAAAAAAAAGGTATAAAGGTTGAAGAAAAGAGAGAAAAACACGTGGGGAGAGGGGGGAAGAGGGGAGAGAAGTAAACCTTTTGACTAGTTTGGAAGTTTTAGTCTAGGTTGGATTGTAGTTTAGATAATTCTTTAAGGGTATTTTTATACTTAGCCATATTTTTGTATCTAAAAGAAAAAAAAAAAAAACTTATTAGAAGGGATAAATTAGAATAGAGATAGGAGTTAGTAGGGCAAAAAAGAATAAAGTCCATTTTCTAGGTCAAATTTTAATAATATTCTGGATCAGTCCACATCTTTATTACTGGGAATTTGATCAGTTTTACGATTGGAGTGTAAACCGTGACATGCACAGAAATTAAGAGTCTATAAAGCATACTTCAATTGTCCTTAACAAACCGAACAAGGCATATTATCAAAGCGGAAAGTCCAGGACAAATTTAAAGAAGCAAATTCAAATTCCCACACGGTGAACCAAAACGAGAGACAAGATTTATTCTTAACTTAACACGTGGAATTAAAATGAGAAAATGAACCAACCAGTATAAAAGGATCCATCATCACTCGGGTAACTTACCACTCAAGCAAACCAGAACCCTTCAGTTTCTCCACCATCAATCCATCGATTCTTGCTGCCATCTCTGGAGTCAAGTAGTTCTGCCAATCTCCGACCTCACCCTTCCTGAAAAAAGCACTATTCGCATAGCTAGAAGGACGAGCCTTCATATCTTTCTCCCCTTTGTTGGCTTCAAGATTCTTCAACGTCTCGAAACTGCAAAGCTTCACAACTTTCTCAACAACCCTTTCCTTCACTTCCTCAGCTGTGAATCCACAACCCATAAACTCAGCCAATCTCTTCACATACGGCAAAGGATCAGCCCTCATCGACTCATACTTGAGAAACAAGATTCGATCTGGATTCTTTTGGTAAGCGTCCCAATACGACAAGACATGGTCTAGATAAGGACCGTTGCTAGAGAAGCCACGACAGAACATATCAAAACACTCCTCAAGACTGTTGAGAGGGCCATCGTCTGTCTTTTGCTTTTGATTAAAAGTCCACAGGGAGATGAAAGTGTCTTTAGGGTCTCTCCAGATGTAAACCATCTTGCAACCAGATCTTGAAACCGACTCTGGCAATAACCCGTAAGGTAGATGAGTAGCAAACAGAGTGTTCTCTTTGTCTTTGAGAGCATCAGCGTTTGGGAAGAAAGCGAATTCAACCTCAATGTAAGGAATAAGCTCATGAGGGTTACGTTTTAAGAGAGGGTTAGAGGAATCGTTTAAAGATCTATTGGAGATTGCAAACGTGAGGGCTTTGAGCCACGTGGTACCTGTCTTTGGGTAGGTACAGATGAGTAAGTCATTAGGTCGGGCTTGGAAGAACTCTTGTGCGTACATGCAGCCTTCAACGCGAGGTTGCATCAGCCAGTGACCACCGTACTCAATAAAGGAATTATTGGGTCTCCAGCCTTTTTGGTGAGGAAAGGTGGCGATGAGTTCTTGGTACCGTTTTTGATTCTTCTTGAACTCTGTTGACTCTGTCACAGTCTCGTCCTGGTTCGGTAAGGCAGTGTCGGTTTCAGTTAATGAACCCATAGAGAATGGTGACTTGGGGATTTGAGTTGAATGATAATATGTGTTCGGACAAATATCAGAAGAGGCCTTGATTATGGTGATGAAGAGGGTGATGACAGCCTTGATTATAGCTTTGGTCTATATATTATAGAGGATATGTATGACCAAATTAAGCTGTAATCAAGGCTGTCATTAGTTATCTGAATACTTATTTGTGACTTGAAATTATATATTAAGTTCACAAAATTAAAAAAAAAATTAAACAAATTAAAATAATAAAGATTCTGTGGCATGATTAACATGTGGTTGTTAAGAACAGAAAAACATAAAACAAGTTCAAACTAACAACTCTATAAAAATAGGAACCATACAGTGTTGAAAGTTTTGAAGAAACTTGAATTATAATCAAATTTTAAATGCAGTTGTCAAAACTTAAAATTTTTAATATTTGACTAATCATCAAAAATATATATTAAAATAAATAGAGTTAATTTTGTATGTTATAAATACTTAATGGTGTACTTATTAAGGATTGAGTTTGTGTATGGTATAAACTTTTTGAAGTTTTTGAAAACTTTTTTGAATTTTTTTGGGTTCAGTTCAAGAAAACCCAAATTCAAAATACCGTAGAATAAAATTCATTCGAAAGTCATCTCGGGTTCATTTTATTTGGATTTATCTTTTATCGGATTTTATTGATTCAGATTTTTAGTTTGGTTTTTTTGTTCACCCCTAATCCAATGTAAGTGGTGAAAAAGATCCTAAAGGAAGACTCAGAAAGATGATACTATATATGTACCTATGACTGAAATTATATCTGAGATAAAGAAAATATAAAATGATTTAGGTGGTTTCAAAGAGAAACTTAATGTCCCACAATATATGTATTATTTAATCTCAGAAAATGCCAATGCATAATTACTCCCAGTATTATATAATCTCAGAAAATGCCAATACATAACTACTCCCAATGATATGCCGTTAAACAGCCTCTATCAACGCTCTAACTAATGTCACAGTCCAAGCTCAAATCTGAGATTCGAATTACAATTGGTTGAATTGTAATTGGGCTTTTGGTTGTATTGAAAATGTTAGAGAATTGTTTGAGTTGTTTATATTTAGATCATTTTTGTAAGCCCCACATGTCAATGGCATAATCAGTAAAACTCGCCCTATTATTAATATTTTGCCGACCGAACATAGAAAAAGGATATGGAACTCTGATTGTGGGAGAATAAGCTATCCCTCACATTTAAAAAAAAAGACATCTGAAGTTGGGAGAGTAGGGTTTAGATTAAAGTTAATACAATTATATCATTAGAAAATCGAACTAGAGGTTAATATATTTCTTTCTTTTAGTTTTAACAACACAAAAAGAAAAAGAAAAAGAAAAACTCTTTTTAGGGATCTGGCCGAAACCTGCTGTCTTCTTCTTCATGGCAGATGTGAAAAATTATGAAGTTATTATGTGTCTGTTTGACAAAAAAAAAAATGAAGTTCTTATGTGTCTATTTATTGTCTCTAGTGTACTGATGAGCCTAAAGAATATTTTTTATTTGTTGTTTGTATTGGTGTATTGCTTGTTATATATCGTGTTGCAGTTTGATAGAGCGATGTGCACATTTTTATTAATTCATATCTTAATGCTTTTCTGTCTTACAATAATCCAATGTCTAACGATCAGAGAGCAGATAAAAAAAGGTTACTTCCTATCATTATTCAAAAACAAAATCGTGAGAAGGAACTCTTCTCTACACTCATTAGCTTTTATCTCTTCCATTAGCTCGACAAAGATGGTGAAGGAGAGGAAGAGAAAAAGTGGGAAAAAGAGGAGACAAGAAACATCCTTAGATATTATTTAAAAAATGATTTGACACACAATCTATTTACAAATGATTTTAAGAAAATGTAACATGACATAACAGATGATATGAGTTATAATTAAATATGACATGAGAATTACACTTAATTTTTATTTCTAATTTTAGTAAACATTTTTTTAATGCTAGATAACTATACTATTACACACTATAAAAAATATTACACACGATTCTACAATCGATAATTCTACCAACTATATGAAGATTACGCTTGAATGCATCACCTGAACCACTCTATCGGATCCATCATGGACGGTACTCATTACGCCATGCTACACATTTCTTAAAAGTTTTTTTTCTTTTAGTTCGCATAATTTTGTCTTTTTCTAGGACTTGTAACCCACACTTTCTGGTGTAAAAGCATTGATGAATCATTTGTCAAAGAGTAATTGCCTCAAGGGCCCTTATTTGAAAACTTTAAAGCTCAAATGTCCTCACTTTTTCTTTTAATTTTATATGTCAAACGAAAAATCATAAAATTAAATTGAAAACGTCAATATTTTTTATTTCATTTATAGAATTTTATAAAAAAATTTCAAAAATCAAAAAACTGTTTTTTCATATTTTTCCGAAAATCACCAAAAATGATTAAAAAACGGTTTTAAAATATTTTTTTGACGAATTTGAAACATATAGAATTTAAATATTTTACCCATGGGTTCACTGATCCATAGGGGGGGTTTTTGTTTAGTTTTGATCGCTTGGAAATGATTTATTTGAGATTTTCATTAAATGATGAAGGATATTAAGATTAGTGGAGGATATAAGTGATTTAAATTTTTTGAATAAGGGCGTTTGAGGTGATGACTCTTTGTCAAATCACTAGACCAAAGGGACTTTCACTTTAGCAAACATTTTAGAATATGGAATAACTCATACATCATCATTAAACTATATACATTCAAACAAGATATTAAATAATGTAACAAATATAAAATAGTATATAAACTTCAAAATATTGTGTACGTCTATTTTCACAATTTTATACAATACTTTTTACAATCATAAAATTATAAAATTTTAATTGTAACCTCATTTGTTTTCCTTGTGATATTTAATTTTCTTAGAAATTTTGTTTAAGACAATTTATTGATAATTATAAAAAGGTTTATATCAGTTTTTTAAAAGAATATAAAAATTGATTTAATATTTCTTAACCAAAATAAATAAATGAAATCTATCTAAGCTTATAATTATATACATATAGATATATTTTAAAAATAATTTAGGATAAATCAAATTGTTTATTTTAACTAAATTAAAAATTATATTAAATATTGGTATGAAAATAATAAAAATAGAATATTAACAGAATTTTATTTATATTTATATTTTGTTTGTTTTGATGTCGCGCGATGAGCCGCCACTCAAAAAATTAATGACTGGAAATATAATTTTTCAATATGCGACTGGGTGCGCATCTCATGAGCCTAGAACAACAAAACGAACAACATTTTGTCTTACTGACCGAAAGTCGCAAGACCTACTACAACAACGGTATGGACAATATCTTGGTCGCACGTTATATTCACAGGTTGTTGCGACATGCAAATGCAATGAATATATTAAGATAAAATCATTAAGAAAAGATTGAAACGTATTCTACGTAAAATAGATATTCTATGTCAACAGTTATATAGACATAAAATATATAAAAAAAACTGAATAAGAATTTACAAGATCGAAAAGAAAATTATTTATATAGTGTTCCTCATAATTATAATTTTTAAAAACTTATTAATATTTTATATAAAAAAACTATTCTGATTTTTTATATTTAAAAAGAACATATATGTTAATATTGATAAAGTTGAAAAAGTATGAGACTATTAAGGTCTAATTTTCTAATATCCCTCGAGCTATAGAGTAAGAGAAAAGTTTGATATGAGAAATTAGGGTTGAATATAAATTCCGTACAAAATCCAAACCGAACCGCCAGACCGGAAACTCACTCTACAAACTCACTATGTACTCGATCTAAAATGTAAAAAAAAAAAAAAAAAACTCAAATAGGTCTTACAAAGTGTTACCTAAAAAATCCGAAAACCCAAAAAATTCAAAATATATCTCAAGAAACCCATTCGAATATCCAAATTAATATACAATAAAAACATTTGAAACATAAATATGGACTTCAAATATCCAGTTTCATATTATTTTGATATAATATCTAACAATAAATAGCTAAAATTTAAGTAAGTACATCAAATACTCCATTCTATATAAATAAGTATATATTCTTACTTTTTGATTTCCAAATTTTAGATTTTATTTGGTATATCTAACATGGATTCAAATGATATATGATTACTTTATTTGTTATAGGATGTGATACAATACTAATTCGAAATCGATTTGTTATATCCGATTCAGATCTATACTTATAAATTTACTAGTAGGGACCTAAGAAGTGTAATACTTCTCAGTTTGTAATATAATAATTATCCAACTTTATAAAAAAAAAAAAGAATAGCTAAGAGCATATAAAGCACACATCAAGGGTCCTTAACAAAGAAATAAGCAATTATTAAAGCGGAAAGTTCATGCCATGCCAAATAATATAAGCAGCAAATTCAGATTTACACATAGGGTATCAAAACGAGAAACAAAGTTTTAATTTATTCTTAACACGTGAAATTAAAAAGAGAAAACGAAAAGGATCCATCATCACTCGGATTACTTACCATTCAAGCAAACCAGAACCCTTCAATTTCTCTACCACCAGTCCATCGATTCGAGCTGCCATCTCTGGAGTCAAATAGTTCCGCCAATCTCCGATCTCACCCTTCCTAAAATACGCACTATTCGCATAACTACAAGGACGGTCCACCATATCCTTCTCCCCTTTGTTGGGTTCAAGATTCTTCAACGTCTCGAAACTGCAAAGATTCACAACTTTCTCAAGAACCCTTTCCTTCTCTTCCTCTTCTGTGAACCCACAACCCATAAACTCAGCCAATCTCCTCACGTACATTAAAGGATCAGCCCTCATCGTCTCATACTTGAGAAACAAGATTCGATCTGGATTCTTTTGGTAAGCTTTCCAATACGACAAGACATGATCTAGATAAGGACCGTTACTAGAAAAGCCACGACAAAACATGTCAAAAGACTCCTCAAGACTCTCGAGAGGACCATCGTCTGTCTTTTGCTTTTGATAGAACGTCCACATGGAGATGAAAGTGTCTTTCGGGTCTCTCCAGATATAAACCATCTTACAACCAGATCTTGAAACCGACTCGGGTAATAGCCCGTAAGGCAGATGAGTTGAAAAAAGAGTGTTCTCTTTGCCTTTAAGAGCATCAACGTGAGGGAAGAAAGCGAATTCAATCTCAATAAAAGGAATAAGCTCGTGAGGGTTACGTTTTAAAAGAGGGTTTGAGGACGAGGAATATTTGAAGCGAGATCTATTGGAGATTGCGAAAATGAGGGCTTTGAGCCACGTGGTACCTGTCTTTGGGTAGGTACAGATGAGTAAGTCACTAGGTTGGGCTTGGAAGAACTCTTGCGCGTACATGCAGCCTTCGAGGCGAGGCTGGATCAGCCAGTGACCACCGTACTCAATCAAGGGATTTTTCGGTCTCCAGCCTTTGTGGTGAGGAAAGGTGGCGATGAGTTCTTGGTACCGTTTTTGATTCTTCTCGAATTCTGTTGACTCTGTCACGGTCTCGTCCTGGTTCGGTAAGGTAGTGTTGGTTACGGTTAATGAACCCATAGAGAATGATGATTTTGAAGACTTGAGTTGATGATTTCTAGGAGAGTTTCTAGAGAGGAGCTGGAGAAGAGGCAATTGGTAGGGATGAAGATGGAGATGACAGCGTTGATTACACACACGACACACAATAAATAAACATTTGTATAGCTTTGTGTTTTAAACGTTGACTAATTAAAACCAAAAAAAGAAACAAAGCCAGTTTGATTAAACCAGGTTGTTAAAGTTTTTAGTGCTTTAGTTAGAAAAAGGTTTTGATGCATCATGCATGGGAGATAGTTTCTCATGGTATACACTTGTCACCGACTCACCAAGCTCTCTTTGAGGCAACAACACAACACTAAAGTTGATGTGCTATTATTCTCTGCAGGAGGTGACCAAATAAGACAAGTGTACGTTTTGTTTCAAGTCCATTGTAGGACCCGCGTGTTCAAGACTAGGAGTTTTAACCACGTGTATGTGGTCAGGTGGTCAAGGCGTTCCGTAGATCTCTAAAGAGACCTGAGTTCGAATACGCACCATACTAGATTTTTACAATGCGTGGTCACCTGGGCTTTCACATTCTCTCTCCAGGTAATGGTTTACCATTTTTAACCAAGTTGCTTTGGTCTAGTGGTAAAGGAGCTCCAGCTGGAGTGCCCGCCTCTAGGTTCGAACTTTGGCCACTGCGAAATTTACATATGGGCTGCAGCATCCGAAACCGAAAACCGTTATAGGTGAGCCACATGGTGACGTCCTGACAGTGTCCTTACTCGCTTCGGTCTCTAGTCTGGACCATTTCGATTGGATCAGGATACTCGGTTAGAAAAAAAAAAAACAGTTTTCAATATGTTGAAACATTATTCACTTATGGACCAGGTTTTACACTTGAAGCCCAACTAATTTCTCCAGGGCACAGCACCAACAAATAATTCGAACCAGATTTTCAAAAGAAGCTAAAACATGGATTTATTATGGACGATTATGTGGATGGGCCATAACCATAGACCAAAACCAAGAAGATAGAGGCCCAAACCTAGACAGCAATGGCCGTGTTCCTTAGGCATCATAGGCGGCCACAAGACTTTCCATATTAGTGTATTTCCATTCCTTGTATGTTTGGGATTTGTACTCTTTCCATTTATCTCTTCTTGTAAGTTCTTATATAAAGGAACATATATTCATCAGTAATAATACACAGAGAATTCCCCATTACTTCTCTCATTCTCCTCTTGATTTACAACAGGATTCACATCATCCGATAAATAGCATTAAATTTATCCATAGCAGGATCAGACTTTAAAGCCAAAGATTTAGGTTTTATCCCAGTTCAGTCCATACTATTAAGGTAGCAGTACTTGGTATGTTGACGAGGGTTCTATGCAGAGCCGGTCCTGACTTTCCGGTGGTTAGAATACCCACATTAGTGAATCTGGAGAGAAGGGTTCACAATTTTTATCTTTTTTTTTATTTTTTCGTTTGATTTTAAAAAAATAAATAAATGGACCAATGGCGGACTGCCACGTGACATGGGGCATGTGACATAGTAGTGAACCGAGTTCATTCGGGAGAGCTTTGGTGTACCGAGTTCATTAGAGGCAGTTATTATAATTTTTTTTTCTTTGCGAAGTGTGAGAATTTTCTCTTGAACTCCTTCTTATACCTTCAATGCATATGCCCTTAGATATAAAGAAAAAAAAACTGATTTATAAGGACAAAAAAATTATTGCGACTTACAAGTATCAAAGTCAGGGCTAGCCACCTTAACTAATAATGTTTTAAGCCAATACACCATTATGAATCTTATAATTTTGTGACCGGAAAATTTGTTTATATATATCGGCCAGAAGTGAGTGTTTGATGGGCTTGGCTCACGGGTCGCCTCTGATACTATGTAGTTTAATCCAAAACAAAACAGAAAAATTAGCTGTACCTTTCATAAATCACTACGAAGCTGGTCTATAATTTTTAAAAACTTGAAACGATTTTGAATATATAGATTTCGTATTTTAGGAAAGACTGTAACTAGGTTCTATCTTGAAAGATTTGAAGAGAGAAGATAACATACATATCCAATAAAGTAGAAACTAAAAAAAAATTCTTAATCCGAAAAATGAGTTGTTCACTTTTATCGGAAACAAAACATCAAAAAAGATATTTAATCGAGAGAGACTTCTAACCTATGGAGGGGGCCGCTGTACTGAACCAAGAGTTTTAATTGATTTGTATTAAAATGATAAATCTAGTATTGTTATTCAAACATTAATTTTAAAACATCACTAGATTTTGACCCGCGCAGCAGCGCGGGTGTTTGTTTTCATTTATAGTTAGTTATATAAACATTTTGTTTTCACTTGTAGATTGGTATATATTATAGTAATCACATATTTACGATATGTATAGTAAATGTTTTTCATAATAATAATATTATATAATATGTGTTTTAATCAAATAGATTCTTTCAAATTTTCTATATTACAAAAACATGTGTTTGTTTTTTCTTCTATAATTTATTGTTTGTTAGATTAATATTTCATTTTAGATAAAGTTATATAAATAGAGCTTGATTAAATATTAGTATACTTTAATTTGCAAAGATAATATAAATTTCGAAGAATTTTTTTCTAAAAACTAAACTTATAGCTTCATAAATTAATATTATAAAGAATTTTACTAAACAAAGAATTTTTTAAACAATTTTTTTTTTTTACAATAATAAAATTTTAAAAACTTACATCGAAATAAATTTATCTAGTATGTATAGCGTGTAAATTTTGTTAGGGTATATAAATATTCCATATTCGAATCTGTGATTTTTGTTAATATATTGTGGATGCATTTAACTATTATTGACATATTTCCTTATAAATAATAGAAGATTCCTAAACTTATATCTATTGACATATTTTGCGTGACAAAATTGGAAAGTGTGAGGTAGTTTACCAAAACCAAATTGTTAAGCGTATCTTTACTATTATAGATATGATTTTTCATAAGATATAATAATGATAAGATTATTATAGAGTTAATTTAACATGATTTTCTAGTAATAGTCTATTTTTTAGAAAATCACACATGAAATCAAGTCATGACTTTTGTTTTAATATATAAGATTTGAAATTTATTGTTATTGAATTTGATATTTCATAAGGTATTCGGAAATCCATTGCTATTAAAAATATTTCAAGTTGTGGATTTCAGAATATTTATGTGGAGATTTTTAGTTAAATAATTAAAACTTACATTGCATGGTTTTAACTGATATTATAGAGTAGTTTAATAAAAAAAAAATACTTTTTAACTTTATAATTCATTGAAATCATCTAAAATTTCACTAAAAATCAAATTATCTCAAATTTTAGATTGAATATAACCCCTATGTATGGTGGACCCTCTTATGTATGGTGTTCGAGGTTTAAAGGTTTTACATTAGATTTGTGATTCACTTTCGAGAAGATGTATCTTTTCACAGACTATAGAATGCAATGTTTACCGGTAGTTTAGGGTTGCAAACAGAGCCATTTGTTTTGGTCATGTGCTGCAGAGAGAATGTGTGAACCGAACATATCGTGCATGTAGAACTGTCCATTGATCCGAATATATATGTAGAGCTATATTGTAGAATCATTGTCCGATGAAATTGTTTATTGATATTGCATATATTGTGAGTAGTAGATCATCATATGTAATATAAATAAAATTTCTATGATGATGTAATGGATAATTTCATCATTATTAAAATCTAAATGATTCACATAAAAACTCCAATTTGAACTTATATCTTTGTTATATCAATTTGAACTTATATGTATTTGTGTTTCAAAAAAAAAAAAAAAAACTTATATGTATTTTACTAGTTGAAAAAAGAGATAGAATTTAATTTATAAGTTATTTATTTATTTTTTTCTGAAAGTATATTATACAGAAATGAACACATATGCAAACCACATAGTTATATCTCCATGTTCAATTATTTAGATAATAATAAAAAAAAACACAGATTTAAATCATTTAAAGACATAATGAATAACAACAAACAAATAATAGAATAACATCTACAAAAATCTACGCAGATTTGAAGATGAAAAGACACACTTTTATATATCTTTAATAAGATATTCAATTTTAGAAGCAGTATATCTTCTACAGAAAAAAAAACAGTAAATCTTTTACCATTTTAGTTCTTCTTAGATTATTTACTATGTTAACTAAAATTGTGATAACTAATTAATAAATGAATTAAAGAAAGAAAATTGACTAACAAGAGTCGTAAACGCTACAGCTTACCGCACTAGATCCCCAACTACCATCTCTCAACCAGTCACACACATGCTCCATTCATCACACCACCCAAATCACTCGCCCTCTCTCTCTCTCTCTAGCGATCACACTTGACAACAACCTCTCGGATCCGATCTTTCCGTCTACGGAACCTCCTCTAAACTCCCACACTCTGATCAATTTCGAAATAATTAGGGTTTCTATTTTCCTCTGCTCACGAACTCTAAAGATGGTCTTCTGCTTCGAAATCGTTTGTTTCAGTGCCGGCGGCGGGTGAAAACTCGTCTCTCGTAGTGTGAAATTCGCGGCGGAGATGGAGGCTTCACCTGCTAAGTTCTTCTTCGGTTTCTTGATTGTCTCCATCTTCTTGTGGATGATCTTCATGTGAGCTTGCCTTTGTAGCTTAATTACAAGTGTTTAATTGATTCTGTATATATGTTAGCTTATGTTTGTTATTTTTTTTTATTTTCTTTTTTATTAGAATTTGTTCAAGGTTATTTGCGTGGATTCTTAGCCGAGTGCTGGGAGCGTCTGTTGTGTTCCGTGTTGGCGGTTGGAAATGCCTCAAGGATGTGGTGGTTAAGTTTAATAAGGTGAGACCTGAAAATTCATGTGTTGTCAAGGACTGTTTATGTAGAAGCTTAAGTCATATCAATGTAGTGGATTGCATCTCTCTTATGTAGTGGGGTGCATCTGTTAAGAGTGGGGTGTATTTGTGCTATGTAGCTAAGAAATAATGTTTC